TGGAAGACATATTTTTTTACTTGCCAAAGGAAAATTAAATGTTGTAAAACAAATTCAATATTACTCACAATATACGAAGAAAGAAATCGCTAATGCAACGTTAGGTTTTGCAAGAGAGGGGGAGAGAGGAGGAAAATATTTGTGAAAAGCTAACGACTGTAAACAATTCAAACCAGGTTCGTTTTGAAGACAGGGATGACAAAGATGTATCAATGCCTTTTTTTGAAGCAATTGAAGTACTCGAAATAGATCACTTGTGCAAGAAAATTCGCGACTTTATCGTTCCTGCCAACCTAGTGTGCTATGTGCAGTCTGGTGGTAGATGAATATCATGGATATTTTGATTGATGTTGAAGTTATGGCGAAATGGTCAGCGATTACACTCAGTTCAATATTCCTCTTTGTTATGAAATATTAGGAAAATATCAGCATAATTTATCGCCACTTTCTCTTTGTTGCAAGATAGAGATCAAGTTTATTACTTTTTCATCTAGAGGATATTCAGCATACAGTTGATAATCGATATGATGGACATCATGCATTTCGAGTGAAAGACCTTGATTGTGCGCTGCCACATCTAACGGTGCTAGTGCGCGAAGGAGACATACAAGGGAGTGCTTTTGTTGGTTGTCTTTTCTGAAGAAATGTTTCTCACAAAGTGGACATGGATAGACAGGACGCTCCTCATGCAAAAACCATCATTCTCATCATGATCACTATCGTAATCATAACCAAGTTGGAATATTACATGCATAACGATGTCGAGCCATATCGTACCTGTTTTAAGTGCTTGAGTCGATGAAGGTCTTGAATCCTTTCCTTTCTAAGTCGTCGCCCGCACTCGGCACATGGCCATTGCTCACGATCCATTGCTTGCATGTACTATGTGCTCTAGGAGGGTGACATTGGGAGAGGGGGGAAAGAGAGAGACAGGGAAAAAGAGAGTAGGAGAAGATACACTAGAGATGAGGGGGTTCGGGCTCCCTCCTTTCCTTTCTTGCCTGCAGCTGTTATTTTATTGACATTCTCCCCTCACGCACACGCAGATTCATTTACTTCTTTCAATATAATGCTCTCTGCTAGCTCTAGTTGCCTCTATGCCCTGACTCCGTGCCGTCTCGCATCAACAGTCTGTTGGAGAGATGCAATAAAGCCGGAATTTTGTGCATATGTTAAGATGAAGTGAAAACTCTGTTGTGTGAGAGGGATTATCAGGTTTATTTTGTTTCCGAAGGCTTCATTTCGCTAAGAAAATCAATGGTGTAATTTTTAACAGTTATTCTTTAATGCAAAAAGATGGATCAAACCTCCCAGAGATCCTAGATGAAAGTAGTAAATATCAACGTCGGACAGTTTGTTTAAGAAAAAATATAAAATGCATTCATGCAAACGCTTACAACTTACTTAGATGCTAACGTAGCATTCCTCTTCTCTCAGCTCTTCCTCTTGAGGAATAAAAATGTCGTCTCTTACCCAGCTAAATTACCGGATAATTAACCAAGACAAATGCTACACGTGTATTCAGAGCTTCATTCACTTCATCCCTCAGGTCATGAGGTATACGAATACAAATGCGTTGCTTGCATGACGTCCTGGCCAAGTGGTGGGGTTAATGCCTTCCCGGTCAGGTGGTGGAGTAGTAAAACCATGATCATGGAGAGTTGATTGTCGACTGCGAAAATATCAGTACAGTCCCCCGATCAACAATATTGGGGCCAAACCGACAGTGAGACCTAAAATAATTTTGACAATGTTAACATCCTACGTATAATAAAAGCCGTATTCATTTTATTTACTCACCAATCACATCACCGGATTATATAGCCTGAGAGGGAGACGAATCAGCCTCTAAAAATTAATTTCTTAACCTTTCATCAAACATATAAATTACTTTTTGACACAAATATTGAAAAACACAAATACCATATAGGTTTCTCGGATGTGCATAATACGATACCAATAACATTGATTTACTCAAGGATCGCGACTCCGGGGATCATAGAGGGTGATTCAGTTCCTGCAAAGAAACGGTTTCTTAAATTTCACGAAGCAGAGGATTGTCACAATCACGTTTTCCTCAATTACTGTACCTTTACATTTCCTAGTAAAAATGACCGGAGGGAATGCTTCTCGGTCGATGCAAGTCACATTCCATGCGATCATTTTTACTGGAAAATATTTATGTAATTGAGGAAAACTTGATTGTGACAATCCTCTGCTTCGTGAAGATTACTAGTCGCCCCACAGGGTACCCACGCGCCAAACATTTCAGGTCCAATGTTTTCTGTCCTTTGGGAATATGGACGGACTCTTTCTTGGAGGGAGGAATAGGAGTAATTTCCTCCACCTCACAAATAAAGGTCACTTCTCCCCCCAGGTAGAGAAGGAGAAGACAAAACATCTTGCTCATTTACACAGAATTAAAAAAGATTGTGTGTGTCATCCCCGAATAACGTTTTTCCCTCAACTAATTCCAAATGATACTTCCCAAATACTTCACTATTAAAGCTCGTCGAGAATCACTTTCAACCCCTTTCCAGGATTTCGAGCAAGATAATGTGTGCAAATTATCTCCCATGGTTTCAGGAACGTGGGGATAGTATATTTTGCGATAAGATTCTGCGATACAATCAAAGAGGTGTTTTCGAGATCTCGGGGGGACTGAAGTTTTCTGCAAGAGCAAAAGCAACACAAAGTCTGACGGATGTTTGCTGAGGACGGCAGGACAATGTAGACGAGTGGGTTATGGGTGTCCGCTCGATTTACCTACTTTCAAGACTTATTAACAAGATTAAGCATTAATGAGAATGTGTTGTACATACAGATTAACATATACATTTCAAATCGATTCGGATATGACGCGTCCAAAAGCACGGTCGTAGCCGATTCATCGATCCCCATACCTTTGGGTAATTCCACGCCAACTCGACCAGCAAGAAAACTCCACCATCTCGGATTTTGACGAAAATCGCTATATACGTCGAGGAATCATTCAATGAATGAATTTTCAACCAATTATTTATCTTCTCCACAGATATATATACATTTTAATATGACCTACTTTTCGCTCCTGGCGCCCATACGAAAAGGAATTGTGAAACTGTTTATGCAATATCTTCCCCTTTAGTTAAGATATACGTTTCATTCCAGTGTCATTTTGATTGTGAGATTGTTCTCTTTAAATTAATTCCAACCACTATTATCCTAAGCTGAAACAAGAGTTCCACTATATGAAACCGTTTCATCAAGTGCAGTGGCCAAAATCGACACTCCCAACCAAGAGAATTGTTTCAATATTTTATTTTAAATTGCATGGTGCGTCATTTCTGAAAATACCAAATTCAAGATTGACACTCAATGTCTTGACGATATATGAATTTTGAATTTTTATCTGCGGCAGTAGTGCCAAAATTCCACTTGCTCGAACACTTTGACCAATTTCAGTGCCTAACCAATGCACTTTCCACTTCGTAAATCCCAACGTATAATATCTCAATGAAAAGGACCTGCTATTGCCTTTCTAATGATACTAAATTCAAGGTTGCCACTCTAGAGTTAATCAGGTATAACATTTTGATTGCATCGAGGGAGGATTTATTGCTGCACATTGGAATTGCATAAATATAACCCAATGTTACGAAGCTGTATGCGTGAAATTTGCGCTGGTTTCTACTTTTTGTACACTTTATTGTTTTCCTAGCATACACACATTTTTTAAAAATAATATATTAATTGTTGAGAATTTACCAATTAATTAACTCACTTAACCTTACCTAATCAGGTAACTACATAATAAACATGGAATGCAAGTTGTTTTATTGAAAATCTGTTCAACAGCAAAAATTTCACGCATACAGCTTCTTGACATTGCGTTATATTTCTGCGATTCCCGAGGTGCAACAATAAGTCCACTGTCCATGCAAACTGTTGTACCGGATGTAAATGTTTGCTGTTTAGTTATTACAAAGTCTGCAGGAGCAGACATCACTTGGTCAGTGGAAACCCTTCACTATGCAGATGAGATGGTGGAATCCGGTGGCTGAAAACCGAGTGATGACGTGCCGGGCATTTGAGTTGGAGGCTTTTCTGGAATTTTGTGTCAGCGATTGAGCTGTGGAACTCGTCTGGTAAGGCCTTTACGGCCGTGATACCTCTCTGGTTTTCAACTGATGCAGTCGGTTCCAGCTTCCAAGTTTCGAGAATGTCTTCGATAAGAGATGTTCCACACATTAGGATGATCAAGTTCCTCGGGGTGATACGGGAGACTCCTAGCGCACTTCTTACTAATATCGTTTTGATTCTGTTCAGGGCTTGCAATTGGGAAGGGTCGTTCCAGATGATCTGAAGAGCGCAAGTACAGATTGGCATGTTCTTATTTTGAAGAGAAACAGGTATTGAGAGCTTTTGTAGGTTCTTGATGGAATAAGTCGCTGCTATGCATTTTCGGACTTTCGACTTCATGTGCTCCGTGAACGTTGTAGTGACTTGGAATATGACTCCGAGATAGGAAAATTCATTGACAAACTCTAGATTCGCATCCCCATACTTCGTTTAATCTTGTTTCCCCAGTTTTCCTCTGAGTCGGAATTTCATCACTTTTGTCTTGTCTGTGTTCACTTGGAGAGAATTGACTCATCGCTCCAATGGGTTCACGGCACTTTGAAGAACGTCTCTTGACAAGGAGTAGATAAAAATGTCGTATGCGTACATAATTACCTCGATGTTGGTTCTCCATGTTGGCGGAGCGTTCTTTTTATAAATTCTGGGAGATCTCCGGAGAAAAGAATGAATAAAAGTGGACTTGGGGAGTCGCCCTGGAGAACACCCCGGTTTTTGGGAATAGGGTTTGCTCTTCTGAGGTTGTCTACTTGGATTAGATTTTCCTTAAGTATGGTGGCAAGAAGTCTTAAAATTTTCCCGAGTTGCTGGGATTCTCGAGTTAATTTGAGGAGATGTCAACCGATACTATCGAAGGCTTTCCAAAAATCCAGAGTGTGAATATGGGTGTCTTTGGTACACTGAGATGGGCGTCCAATTTGGACTTGAACACTCTCAGGCAACTACGGTTCCACGACCGTGACGAAATCCAAGCTGTTCTTCGGGTAAATAGCTCTCACTCTGGCGAGTGATCCTCCGACAGAGTAGCCTCGTGAGGACCTTGAAAACACGAGGTCATAGCGATACCTGGTAGCTGTCGGGGTTATTTTTGGAGCCCTTCCCTTTGAAAAGTACTTTAATGAGGCTGTGCCGTACAAAAACAATGCGCTGGGGATCCCCTCCAATATCAGCAGATTCATCTGTTTGGAGAGAAAACTTCCAAATCTGGCTTTTTTTCTTTCAAATATGAGTTTGCCAAGACCTCCATGCACTGTACACATTGTGCGCGAGATAAGCCTGATGTTTCCTTAAGCCCAGTGAAGCCAAATTTAAGAAATTCTGGCTTATAGACACACTGATATGAACCACTACGCTTCTGAGCCACTTTGAAAACATGGTGCAATGAGAAAAGTAATTAAAATTAGTTATTAGTGATTTGAAGCATCAGCAAAAAGGGTTTGCACTTTTTTATTGTATTAGAAAAAAAGAAGAAATTAAGAGTGAACAGATAAACTGATGAAGTTGAAATATTTGTGAGAGCTTCTGGTGAGAGCTCATGTTACAGTATGCACTGAGCGACTGAGGAATGAACAGTAGCAGAGTAGCTCTGTTGATCGAGCTGACGGCGTGTTGGGACTTACCATAATTTTCTCTCGTGTTTCTGCACACACTGCGAAATGAACTGCACCAGAGCGACCTCGTTAATCGAACTATCAGACAAGTTGTAAATATTGTTACGGTACGACTTTTCGTGTCGTGGTCCGTTGCGGGATCCGGGTGGAAATAAGGTCACAAGGGGATATGGTGACAACAAAACAGGTATTTTATTATTTTCCTCTATTCATCCAGTATTAACACCAACTCTCCTGGATCCGGAAGCGCTGCGAGGTCCTGGGGTCCGGGGGCCAGCGTCGCTCGGAGTCTTCCGCTCGTATGGTCCCACTCCACCGTCGTGGATGCCCCTAAGGCCTCCACAGAGAGCGGGGGAGAGGTAGAGAGGAGGGATGTGTTCCACGTAGGAGACCAGCTATTCCTTCCCGGGCTGCGGTCTAGCCGGGTCGTTGCTGATTGTTTTGACCCGTACTCAGCAGGGCCTAGGTCGAGCCTGCTTTTGGATCACGACGGGTCGGCACCGTTCAGGGCTGAGGTCAAGCCTGATTCGATGCAAGGTATCTTAATTCACAGGGCTTAGGTCGAGCCTGCTTTCGGGTCACTCCGGGTTCGCAATTCTTCAGGGCTTAGGTCGAGCCTGACTCGATGCGAAATACCTTACTTCTTAGGTAGAGCCTGCTTTTCTAGTACAGGATCTCAGCGGGAGGGAGCTATTCAGGGCTTAGGTCGAGCCTGACTTTTGCTGCCTCACTGAGGAATCGCTTTTCCGTCTCCCTCTCCCGAGAGTCCTTCCTGGGGCCGGCTTGCGAACGGCCGTGATGCGGCCGTTCGTTCTTGGTGGTGACTCCTCAGCATGTAGGGTTGGAAGGCATGCTGTTTTTCCTTACTTTTTAGCATATAGCTCTAAAAATACTCTATGTAACTATTACATCGGGACCAGCACATATATTTTAATCCACTACATACTCTGAATAGCTAACACCAGGGCTCACTAGTGACACCTAGTGGCGGGGACTGTAATTGAAGGTCAGGGGTCAATCATCCTACGCGGGGTCGCATATTTTATATTCTCTTACCGTGACAATATGTATACAGATTACTGATACCACTTTTTACTCATGCTGGTGAGCTGTTGAATAAGGCACAGCCTTTGAACCTATCAGTGCTGCTGAATACCATGACAACTTGTTCTCACCATCACTTGACAATCAAATTACTGTACCATAGCGCAACCAGAAGGCTTATCGAAAGGACGTTTGTGCTTTGTTTCTCAGAAAAAAATTACAATATTTTATTTTTCGGCACTAAGTGTCTTCGGCGAACCATCATTAGCAACTCGCGACCCAACTTTAGGTCGGTTTGGGAACCCAGGCCCTAAAGTATAGAAGTCGCATATTGCGTGGAACTTCCCAAATGGGGAAGTTTCACGCAAGATGCGACCACACTTCCCGAACAAATGTCCCATATCAAGAGTTTATGGATTCAATCATGTTTACTCAAATATACAATCTTATTTCCTCATATCGAAAACGATGCAGCGTTTATTTTGAACCACCTGATATACTTGTTACAGTCAAACGGAGAGATACGTAAAGCTGAAACTTGGCAAGGACGTGCATACTGAGACAGTTCAGAAAAAATGTCCAGTTTTAGATGCATATCCTGGGAGAATATTTTGTAGGGATGATGTTTTCAAGTAATTTATTTTTCCCTGGAGAATCCAGCAGAAACGGAGAGGTGAAACCTGACACACACATAACTTACAATGATGTTGACTTCTTTAAAAAGGCACATTTTGGGGTGCATCCTCTTAGGGCAAAGCTTTTGGTTGGGTTGTCTTTCCAAATATATTTTTGCACCATCAAAAAGGGCAGAGGTATGAGATTGAAGCTCGGTGGTCATGGAGGTCTCTGAGTAGCAATTTATTGAAAAAAAAATGTTTTGAGGTAAATCCTGTCAGGGCACATATTTCGTGAGAGGCGCATTTTATGGAATCTTTTTCAATCCAACAAAACAGAGACCAATAGAAAGTCTAAACCTGGCTCAGAAGTAACTTTTCAATTGCTGAGTGGAGAAAAAAATTCCACTTTTGAGATATATCTCCTCAAGAGAAATCATGGGAAGGAAATATTTTAAGATTTACCTTCCCCTCTCGCAAAAAGAGGCACATAAAGAAATCTGATGTTATGCACGCAGAAAATCAAGGGATAAATGATTTTGATAGAAATTTGGAGCACTGCACATATTTCGACAGGGACGCACATTACGCTTTTGCCACTTCTAAAATTAAATAAAGAATTAATGACGAGTCATGATAATGGAGCGCCGAAGGCGGGACCATAGTCAGTAGTATACTAATACATTATACTAATATAGTAACTAAGACATTATTTGCTTCGCCCAAGAATGTCAGGATTTAGATCATTCTGACATTTTTCATCCTAGAGCACATTTCCTTTTTTGTCACCTTGGATTTTCATAGCAGTTGACACACTTGAACGCAGTGTTTCTGCGAGAAACCACGTCAGACTGTAACCGAACAATCCGAAGGATGGGATAAAAAGACATTACGGGGCATTTAGTCTGATACCTTGTGACATCACAAGAAAAATTGGTAAAATATACCTAGGTATTTCCAGATGAGGTTGTATCATGCAGCATTATAGAAACATCTCTTTATGGATGTCTCAATAGGAATAAAGAACATCGAGGTGGTAGACGGGAGAGACGTGGGCCTGGATGAAGACCTTGCAGCATTAAAGAAGTATCTACCAAAGAAAGTCAAAGGAGGACACGTTCTCTTAGATGAAGTTCCCATCACTCTAGGATTCCAAGGAACCATCACATCGGAAGCTCTTTCCGAACACTGGAAATGGATCGTGGATATGAATTCTTTGGTAAAGTCGATCACAGTCTCTTTTCGCCCCAACGACCAGTCCTTCTTGAGAGACATCCCTCTCCAGGATGTGAGGCCTGGCGGTTACAAGATAAGAATTTTAGAGAGCGTGATGAGGAATTCTAGAAAAATAGCAGAGCTGTTTCTTGCCATTCTTGATTACTCCCGACGGATCTTCATATCTAGTGAGAAGACACTTCCGTTGGATATAAAACAGTCTGGGAATGGATTTCTTCCAGTCCTTTTTCCCATTCCCTCTTGCTTCTCCATTCATCCTGGTGAATGTAAGGATGAGAAGACTTATGAGGCCGTGAGATGCTCTTTCGCCGTTCAAAGTATATACGAGGAATACTCCAAGTCATCCGAGAAAATCCCACTTTTCGTCGTGGTTGATCATCAGGAGAGAAGGAATGCTCTCGTGAACGTGTTCACTTTCCTCTATCCATCCATTCCTCTCCTTTTCCTCAACTTCAACTGGAGCCGCCATGTATGGGATTTCCATGGAAATGTTGTATCTGAAGTCTTGCTCCCCATCGTCGTCGTGACTGAAAGTGAAATGATTGGATGCCATTTGACAAATGTGACAGTGGTAATCGATATTGCTCAGTCGAAATGGCAAAACTACGCTAGACTGATAGCAACAACTGGGGATAGGAGAAAGATCATCGTAGTAGAAGAAGAACAACTGAGGATAGGGAAGTTTTCTCGTGTAAGAAAGGAAATCTCAGGCTGGGAGACATGGGAAATAATGAAAAGCGTCGACAAAAATCTAAAGGTAAGGCTGGAGAAGGCCATGAAACAATGTCATGTGAAGAAAATCGACTATTTGGAGGAGGATACTTTCCCTCCTGCGCCCTTCCCTGGAATGAGTATAGATTGGAATGGGAGGGAAGGAGAGGAGCGTGATGTAAATTTGATGCTTAGATCTTGGCTAAGTGGAATATTCGGTCCCCCTGCTTCTGGAAAATCCAGAAGAGTGGACGTGCTCATTAGCCGAGTGACAGAGAGGGGAGACCGAGTCCTCCTTCTCCACTCCGAAAGTGTGTTGTCCCGGATAGCATTCCGACAGCGCTGGGAAGGAAAGGACAATGTCGACTTTGAAGGCTTTGATTCAAACAAAATCAACTCACTTCAGGATATCATTAACCGTGTGCAACGGATTCAGAGAGAGGAAAAGAGGAAGGAGAAACATTTCATGGGTCGAACTATCTTGAAAGCAAAAATATCAAAGGAAGAAGAAAGGGAGAAGAGGGAGAAAAAGAAGCAGAGGAGAGAGGAAGGAGAGGCAAGGACTGAGAAGGGATTCGGAAAAAAGCAAGAAATGGGTCTCTTGAACGTGGTTGTTGAAGACTGTCCATTATTGAAGGACTTTAAGTTGATCATAGAGAAACTGAAAGAGATGAAAATACGGCTGATACTTGCCTTCAAGCCCCATTCGGAAGACGCCGAAGGGGAAGCGGTTGAGAGATACATAAAAGTCCTTCAAGATAACCCAGAGAGCACTGCAATTGTACTTCGATCGCAACCAACTAACGTCCATCTTCTTAAGCATATTCAGAAAAACGAGACTGGAAAAGCTCTGCAGTTGAAGGCAGGGAATCTCTCTGTGTCGTCTGTGCCTGCCGCCATCGTCCTTGGGCCAGCAGTGCGATGGTTCAAGTGCTCAGGACAACATTTGGGATACATCTGCAAGGGAATGAGTTCATGCAGTAAAGCTGTGGCTCTTGCATCTTCCCTCTCTCATAGAGTCCTTCCGCGTCAACTTAGCGGATATTCATCTGAAATCCTGGTATCAAGTGAAGAACTGCTAACGTCCTTGCAAACCCTGAAAACCCATCTTGATATCCATGATGTGAAAGTGATTCACCCAAAGGACTTTCGTGGGTCGGAGGCTTCAGTTGTCATTACTGTGGATGTCGGAGACGACTGGTTACTGGAAGCGATCTCCCGCTCAAGAAATCAACTCTTCATCATTGACAACATCCCTAGCCACGAAGACCTCTGGAAGACCATGATGGAAGAACAACGTGTTCAGACCTGGGATGACCCCATTCCCTGGGACAACGAAGCATACTCAAGAATATTTTTAACACTGGATGAGGAGGAACAATTTCTAAACGTGAGTGTCTATCTCTCCTTTCCCTTCAGTTTCCCTTTTCTCCCCTATCCCTTCCATATCATGTATCTTATTCTCCTTTCATGCATACAATCGTGCAGTAGCTACAAATGAGCTACACTGAGCTCAAATGTCAAATTTCCAATATATTTTTGGCAGCCATATTTCTTGGAGACGTTACGTTTTCAAAGAATTCATCATATCCTAGCTAATCGGGCAGAAATAGAAAAGTAGTAGCTGGCGCACGCATAACGGACGTGATGTTGATTTAATGAAAAAGTCAACTTTTGTTGTTTGTCTCCTCAGAGCACAGCTTTTGGGTGGGTCGCTTTTCCAAATTTATTTTTTTCCGCCAGCAAAAAGAGGAAACGTATAAGGTTGAAACTGCGTGGCATGGAGTTCCAAGAGTCTACATTTAAAAAGAAATAAAATTTTCGTTAAAACTCATGAAACTCATCATTTTTCAGTCCTATATATCGGTATCCAAGGTTATGGAGTGCCGAAGGCGCGACCCTAACGAGTGTGTTTTCCCTAAGGGCAAACAAACTCGCTAGTATGAAAATATATCTGAAGAGGTACATTCGCGTCAGAGTTCCAGTTCCAACACAGTCTTTGTTTCTTCTGGAGAAACGAAGACAATGCTGAACAGGATCGGCAAGGAGTGGCTCAGGGCATCAATCCGCAAGAGCGAATTGCGGTGGCAGAAATGTGTCCACCAAAAGGGGACTACGTGCAGAAGGTTCATGATCATCCGCAATATTACTGAATGTGTTGTTACGTCTGTAATTTCTGATGTATGTGTTCCTTTCACTGCCTGTATTTTGTTAATCATAAGAGTGAGGAACTTATACTAATGAGTGTGCCTTGCGTATTTGTTACACATTGAAGAAAACTGGATTTGATTTTCGTGGGAAACACATCAAGAAAATTATAGCCAGAGTCGCGATAATTTTGGTACGCCCCTCGTAGTATCTAGAAACGCATTCGCGTACCAAATTTCTGCTTTAAATAAATACTTTTTCCAAGTGGTAAAAACATATTTTAAATTTGTCCCTGTCGATATATGTGTCACAAAGGATTATAACCGAACCTTTTCTTGCAATTATTACCACGATTATTTCTTGCATGAGTAGCTCAATACTTATATATGCCACCATTGTTCAAAACAAAAAATTAACCTTGAAATATTTTCCTCACTTAATCTGCCCTGAGATGACACCTTTCAAAATTTAGGATTGTTTCTGTGCTCAGCAATGTAGCAGATACTTCTGCGTCAAGTTTCATCTTTCTATCGCTCACCTTTTTGTTAGATTAACAATTTTTTATTATAAAATACGACCTTTGCAAAACAAAGTACTCTGATAAGCGTTGCCGAAACAATATTTTCATGTGTTACTCAGGTCTTGGAGAAGTACAGGCCCACAAAATTTCAGTTGTTCCAAAAAAATGCTACATATACAAAAACTAGCGAGTTCGTTTGCCTGAAGGCCGACCTCGCTAATGTCGAGCCTTTGGCACTCATTGTGCAGAATAGTGATCCATCAATTCATTTTTGATGTGGCAAAAACTTATGAAAATATGTGGCTGTCGAAATAGATGCGATGAGGGGACGAACCGATATTTTTATTGAAAAAATTACTCCGATTATTTCTTGCGTGCTTAACTTCAAATCGCTTTATAATCTATCCTGAGGAGACATACTTGAAAAGTCGTATTTGCACTTAGAAATCGAATAAGTACTTCAGGTCAAAGTTTGAACTTACTTTAGTATTATTTTTCATCGAATCAAAAAAGATTCGAGAAGATTCACCTTCTGCAAAAAAGCACCATCAGGATTTCCACCTACAAATTAATATGTTTTCAGTCTGAATTTAGTATTTGGAAAACTAAGTGCCTAACAGATTTCAACCTTGCCATTTCCTCTTTACGCTTGTGCAAAAATATATCTGAAGAAGCAAACCCAGCCAAATGATCTGCCCTAAGGGTGCGCACCACGAAAGTTGAATATTTCTCAATTCAGCATCACCCCAGTTATGTATGAGCCAAGTTTCACCTTTCCAATGTTTTCACCTTTCCAAATCTTTGCCAATTGGAAATACAGTCATCCCCAGACTTACGTCGTCTCGTTTTACGTCGTTCCGCACTTACGTCGTTTGCCCCCAGACCCAATATATTAAGCCATGCATGCATATTCGTACCTACGTTATATTACGTTGCCCTTACATGTTCCATGAATTGGTATCTCAACTGGGAGTAGTCGGCAACACCGCACTGAGAAGGCCAAGTGTCGCAGGCCGTGAGTAGTCGGCAACATTGTTACAGTACTGAGCGTGCCAAGTCGCAGGCGCATGAGAGGGGCCAGGTTTCATTCTGCAGCCAGCGCTTGGATCGAGATCATCTCTCCGCTCTCTAATAACTTTGTTTTTTTACTGTTAATTTAACCGTTTACTCCTGAATGTTCACGATGGCTTCGAAGAGGGACGCGTCTGCTTCAACATCTAGCTCTAAAAAAGAAAGACTTTGACTTTGGAGACAAAACATGAAATTATCAAGCTTTCTGATGGAGGAATGAAGGCCTGTGAGATCGCTGCCAAGACGAACCTTGACCAGAGGAATGTGAGGACCATTATTAAGGATAAAGAGCGGCTCCTCTCCGAGGTGAAGAGTGCTCGCCCGATGAATTATACGATTATTCGGAAGCGTCACGGCCTCGTTGCCGAGATGGTATCCTTGCTGAAAATATGGTGCGTCAACCAGATGAGGGTCAAGAACTGCCCCGTTGACCAAAACACTGTCTGCAACGAAGCCAAGCTGATTTTTGCAGATTGAAGGAGGATGTTGGAGATGAAGTGAAGGATAAAACTTTCCTGGCAAGCCACGGCTGGTTTAATCGATTTAAACGACGCTGTGATTGGCATAGCATTGAAGGCACTGGCGAGGCTGAGAGTGCTAATAAGGAGGAGGCTCTTTTTTTCCCCAATCGATTGAAGGAGACGAAAGAAGAGTGAAGCTATTGCTCCAAGACCGTGTTCAATGTAGATAAAGCTGGACTATTCTGGAAGAAGATGGCCAGAATAACGTTTATCGCACGTGAAAGTACGTTTCCTGAATTTAAATTGGCTCACTTTAATGTTTGGTGGAAATGCAGCTGGTGACTGCAAATTGAAGCCGCTCCTAATCTATCGCTCAGAGAATCCACGAGCTCTTAAGAACAAGTTCAAGTCTGGCCTTCTGGCGATTTGGGAGTCAAATTCAAAGGCCTGGATTATTATGTAAGTTCTTGTGTTTTGGGGACTGGTTCGGCCACCATTTTAACCCTGAGGTTAAACGTTATTGCCGCTCCCAAAACCTTTTAAGGCGATGTTGATCATCGACAATGCTCCTGGCCACCCTCCTGGACTTTGATCAACGAGTGAAGGTTGTCTTCTTGCCTCCAAACACCACCAGCCTAATTCAACCCATGGTTCAAGGAGTGATTAAGACGTTCAAGGCCTATTACACCAGACGTTCCTTTGTCAGTTTGAACTCAGCCATGAAGGGAGGACACGGATCTGACAGTGAATGCCTTTTTTAAGGCCTTCAATATCCTAGATGCAGTGCGGATCATAGGGAACTCATGGATTGAGGTTGCTGAGAAAACAATGAAGAGCGTCTGGAAGAAACTCTTTCTTTTTCACTGAGGTTCCGGACACAAAAACTATCAGGTTGTAACATATATTTTGCTCGTTTTCTGATTTACTTTTCAGAACTGAAATTCAACAACGTAAAATGAAAATTTAATCAACATAATTTCCCTCTTTGTCTATAACCTCCTTCCACCTGTCCACAAGGTTTTCAATGCCACGTTTGAAGAATTCCCTTGGTTTCGAATTAAAAAATGAGGACACTTCATTTTTGACTGCTTCACGGGAATGCAGTTTTTTTCCATCTAGATGATTTTGCAGACTTCGGAATAGATGGTAGTCCGATGGTGCAATGTCTGGGGAGTAAGGTGGGTGAGGCATTTTTTCCCAGCCAAACTCCTCCAGTTGTGAAGAGGTGACTCGAGCGGTGTGAGGGCGCGCATTATCTTGATGGAACAAAACACCTCTACGATTGATTAATGCAGGACAGAGGTGACTCGAGCGGTGTAAGGGCGCGCATTGTCTTGATGGAAGAAAACACCTCTACGATTGATTAATGCAGGACGCTTCTGTTCTAATGCCGTCTTCAATCGTTGGAGCTGCTGACAGTAGACTTCAGCCGTGATAGTTTGGTTTGCTTCCAAGAGCTCAAAATGAATGATTCCATGCAGATCCCACCAAACGGATAGCAAAATGTTCATTGCATGGAGTCCATCTCTTGGCTGTGGCTTAGCCTTATCATCTCTGCTAAGCCATTGACGAAAAATGGGTCCTATATAACAATATTAAGCGTCGCCATCAATGGCGATCAACGCCATAGTCTCCAATCAGGCCAGTTTCGCTAAAGAAAGCAATAACCATACTCTTTGGAATGTAAGAACCGAATATATTCTTGTAATGGTAACTTTTTATTCCCTTTAGGAGTGCGTGCGTCTTTCAAAGTCTTCTCTCCCTGGGATAATGCAACACGGATCCACTCAGTGCTGCCTCCAATGCCAAATTAGCCAAGGGAACTGGTGTCAACTTTTTCACATACAGCTCTGCACTTTGCAAAACCAGTTTCAAGTTCGAATCCTTAAGTCCATTATCGGGACATGAAATGAAAAACGTATTGGAACTCCTCGTCAAACGTAAACAAAGCTCACTTTTGGGCAAGATGGAAAACGGGCATGTTGACAAGTCCAGGTCGAAGTTTGACATTAATTCCACAGTAGAACTACCAAACCATCGTTTCCGTTGCCAGTCGTCGAGCAGCTCCACATCGTTAACATCCGTTTCTTTCAATTCAAAATCGTACCACCCACTGGCTCTGGCCCATGTCATTTGTTTTATCTGACTCATGCTCACAAGGCGGTGAAGAAATGAGCTTATTGGATATGTTTCCGATTTCTAATTTACGACCACCCCATTCCAGAAAAGTTCAACGCTAGAAAACAGAGACTGGAGAGCATTCTGAGCGGTGTAATATTTCAAGAATATTTCATCAATATTAGAAATAGTATTTATATTTATTAATACCTTTTTTTAACGCAGGAATTCCACGAACATTTTCAGACTCTCACGAAATTCAGAGATAGAAACTGAAACTGAGGCAGATTGGTGTTCAGGTATGGTCCAGATCCATATTGGAAAAAAACTCACCATTGGAGATGGTTCCCTTTGGTGCGCGCTTTTCGGGGAAACATTTTCATGAAAAGTATTGTTACCGTAAGGAGACAGATACAGAATAGAAAACTGAAATTCCGTTTCGATTATCTCGAAGAGATTCTTCCAAGGAAACGACTTCTTTTTTGCTACATTTGAATGCGGCAAATAAATATTTTCGTACGGCATGATTCCAAGAAAGGTTTTCCCTATAAAGATTCGAGTCGGTTAGAACTAAATCTATACATTAAAAAACTATACGAAAGTACCTCTTGGTTGACTATTTTAATAAGCTATATATCTCCGATTGTTTGTTTGCCTATGAAGTCGCACAACGGGAAATAAATTGAGAGAACAATAAAATATCCATAAGATCCCAGGAGTTTAACAGATTGGTCAAAACTTATATTTTGAATGAATTAACCTTTCTTTCCTAGACAATGGAGCGCCGAAGGCACCATCAGAGCGAGTTTTTTTGCCCGAAGGGCGAGGAAGCTCGCTATGATGGAATACATGTATAAAATGAAATGCTCCGCCCATGAGAACATGTCCCAATCACCTACATATCGCAAAAAATACATTATATGTAGTTGAGCCTGAGATGGGAAGGTATGACGCAGGGGTTATTAACCAGGGGTGCCCGCCCCCCCCCCCCCCCCCGTGGCTGCGGGCGGAGTAGCGTGGTGGATGCAGTGGGTGCGTAGGGAGACAAAGGTGGGGAACTTCTGGTATAAAGGAGCCCAACAATTCTTGAATCGCATGGAAAGGAAGTATGACGTTGAAAGCTTCGCCGACTTGCTCCGCTACTTGATTTCATTTTCTTTCTCTGCATTTTTCTCGCTGTTTCTTTTTCATTGATCGCATCCTCCTTTCTCATTTCATATTCCTCTATGAAGTTGAATTAACTCAGTGTTCTACGGGTTTGTTTTTCTCGAATCGATGTGAAGAGCCTGGCCTTGATATGAATATTTGTTCTTGTATCGTAGGAGCCGACTTGGAAAGATGCAGGACAGAGAATCGGAGTGACGGCGCTGAAAAGAGGCTTACTCGACCAGGACACCGGCAACGTCCTTTCCCTCTCTCAGATGATTTGGAAGGCTCTCGACGGAGTTTTACCTTTACCACATTTCTCTTCCCCTTTCACCGACTGGGGATATGTATGGGATAGTAAGTGTATAACCTCAAACATATACGATGACCTTTTTCTCGGAGGGTTAAAGTTGAAGCCATTCATATTCGAGTACATTGTGATCGTGTTTGTTTTCAATTCCCATTCATCAACCTTTCCATTGACGTTCCTGAAGGTCGAAAAAAGTTTTTTTTTTACCAGTATACTTTTGTTTTATATGTATGTTTTCGTTGGATATGGGGATGGATATATTGTAATACATCAGCACACGTGGTAGACATACAAAGGAGTTACACAAATGTGACCAATTATTAGTAGATGCTATGAAATGTGAGAACCGTCTAGAATATAAGAAAACTGCAGCTTCTGAACTGCCTGTTTGAATGCATGCTAGAACATACGGCACCCATATTTCATCAGAATGATGGGAAAGAGAATTCTATTCATTGGAAGCGAAAATGAATTATAAAAATATGTATTAGCTGGTGTGTAGCATTTGCAACGAAAGTCCCTTTCTGCATATTCAACTAACAGGAACGGGTTAATTAAAATAAAAGCCAACAATTTGAAGCGAAATATGTTATATGAAAATAGATTTGTTTGGATGAGGGCTTCAGAGAAGTACATGTGATTCTGAAATGGCGGTGCTTGATTTGCAAAAATCGGGAAAAATCATATCAACATCCCACTAGTTTCACCCCTAAGAATGAGATCATTATCGAATTTGAAATTTTTAATGTTGAATCGGAGACACCATATGGGAACTGAAGTGCTGAGAAAATGCCATTGTTCTCTCTGTAGTGAAAACAAGATGGGTGAGTTCAAATTGATTTGGGACAGAAATGTCCATGTTGGCCAGTGCACAGAAGAATACCTCTAGGTACTATTATACAACTAAAGTCTCAAAAGTTCCAGGGCTGCCTTTTTTAACGATAAAACAAACTGAATGCATCAATAACGGAGAAAACTAAAGTCATCCCTCCCAATTCATGCAAGTGTTGGCTAGTACAGGCACGAGGCGTTACGCGGGACAGGCATCCTCGTGCACATCACCTTGTCATAGCCAGTCGATGTGCAATAATGGATGAGCAACGAGTGAACAATGCATTTTCATTCATGCTGGGTAAAAGTACAACCGGGACCCATAACCTATCCTGCCAAGCTTACGGTGATGCAGATTCATCACGTTCGCGCACATTTGAGTGGTATAGTCGTTTCCATGATGGAAGAGAGACAGTTGAAGATGATCCCATGTCGGGTCGGCCTTCCTTATGACGCAACGTTGAAAATGCTGGTAGGATCGGTGACATTTTGCGAAACAACCGCCGCATTACTCTACGGATGTTAGTGGATGAGACGATCATCTGCAAAGACACTTGTCTCTTTATTTTGACCAACGATCTGTGCAAGAGAAAGCTAAACGCGAGACTTGTTCCGCGGTACCTGACCCAAGAACAAAAGGAGCATTGTTCTTCGATTTGTGCTGATCTTTTGGAAACTGCACACAATGATAACACATTTTACACTTCCATCATTGCTGGAGATGTATCTTGGTGCCTGCAGTATGACTCTGCAATAATACGACAAAGTGCAGAGTGGAGGTACTCAACAACCTCGTCCGAAAAAACCCCGCTCCCAGCGGGAAAAGTGAAGACAATGTTGATTGCGCTTTTTATTGTAAGAAATCGTGGGCAAGGAATTTGTTCTTGCGGGACAACGTGTTAACCAACATTTCTACAAAATTGTTTTGGAACGTCTATGTCAATGTCGACAGCAGCGCCACTTACCTACTTGCTACGTCATTTTTTAATTCGGAAAAAATTAGTTCAGGCCTATGAATCTCCTATGGATCTCTATGAATTCAGGCCTATGAATCTCAGGCCTATGAATCACCTGCCAATTATCAGCTGCGTTCGAGAGTTCTTTCAAAAGATATGGTCAAACAAAGTTGGATTTTTACCTAACATTTGAACTTTTTTGGGTATGGATTTTAAAGGAAAATTCAGATGCAACTGATGTTTGAGAAAGATGTTCATGGGTCCATTACTTATTCATCCCCTTACCCAGCGCAAGGCTCTGCATGTTGACAGGTGGCGGTGTGGTGGCATATGCAAAGGTAAGAGACTGTGAATTGGAATTGCTACAAAAATGAATACGTCTAGCATTCACTTCACTCCCACCAAGAGATGGAACTTTCAGTGCAGTAACTTCTCATGTTCATGTTCTCTTACGTGGGGCGTTCAAAAAGTATTGGAAGTGACCTGCAACATAGGCAATTATGAATGAAGCAAATTTTTTTGCCTTTAGTTATTCGAAATAATCACCGGCAGCTGCCACGCATTTGTTCAAATGGGTCAGCCACGTGTCAAATGCTTCACAGTACTCTTCCTGAGGTATACTTCCCAACTGTGAATTGACAGCCCTGGAGAAATCTTGCACGCGAGAAAATGGCTTTCCCACCAACTCCCTTTTGATTCTAGAAAAAAGCCAGAAATCACAGGGTGCCAGGTCAGGAGAGTAGGGTGGATGGGCAATGACATGGACTTTCTGCTCCTCCAGGTACTGTTGTACAGCAGCTGTCTTGTGGCTTGATACATTGTCTTTCAAAAGCTGTGTGCGGGATGTGCCAACTGTGGGTTTCTCTTTGGTGAATGATTTGCAGAGTTTAGGAAGGATATTGTTCTTGTAGTAATTACCGGTAATTCTCTGCTTCTCAGGTAGAACATTCACCAACAGAGGGCCTCCATAGTAAAAAAAACACGGTGAACAGGCGTTTCTTTGACAGGAAATCCCGTCGCAGAATCTTTGGACGGGGCTCATTTTCAGCCAATCACACCATGTTGCCTGTCTTGCTAGGCACTGTGTAGTAGTAGAACCAGCTCTCATCACCTGTAGCAATATCAGTCAACGTTTGGAACCCTTAGGACTGAACAGTTCCAAGTTTTCACGCGAAAACTGCACTCGTTTTGCCTTCTGTTTTGCAATCAGCTGGTGTGGGACCCACATCGCACATATCTTCCTAACATTCAGCTCATTATGTAAATGTTTGAAATTGAGCCAGCACTTAGTCCACACTCGTCCACTAATGTTTCAATGGTTACACTTGGGTTAGCCAGGAAAATGTCTCTGACACGATCTGTGTTTTTCTCGTTCACGACTGATTTCGGGCGTCCTTCATGTGACTGGTCTTGCAGAGTGTCTCTACCACTCCTCAATTCACGTATCCATCGGCCAACTGAGTTGAATGAATAGCATTTATTCACATGCACATGCTGTTGATCAGCATGCATCTGGCTTGCACTATCTCCGAGTTTCATCCGGGGGAAAACACAGAATCGTTCATTCTCTGTTAAATTCCATATTTTAGGCCACAGTCAAAATGCACACTTTTTCCTGAACTAGTACACATCCTACAATATAGATACAGATAATCTGATTATTTCTAGACAATAGTCAATGTCACTTGTATATGCCACTATCAAGAAATCAACCGAGATGCAATCCACTCCTTTCGTACATGCTCACTTCCAAGACTTTTTAAATGTCCCATGTACTACGTCCCTAGTAAGACATAACCTTGAATCAACATTGATTCAACGTTGGTGCATGGTCTGGATGTTGAATCAGCGTTGAATCAATGTTCTTTCAATGGTATGTGCTACTAGTGGTATTACTAGGAAACTCTAAGCTGAGCCCTCGTGCTCCTTCACTTTTCACCTTCGTGTATGCTATCACTGCACCCTCTGTCATTGGTACAAATATGTGCCAGGCAAGGGAACGAATAGGTCATAGAAACAATAACATCTCTGTAAAATATCACTTGAATCTGACTTTCCCTTGGAAAATTACAGTCAAAGAAAATAGGACCGGGAATGAAAATCACTGAAAATTGAGAGAGCCAGAAATGAGCCTAAACCTGTTTCTCAGCCGGAAGTTTTGGTGCCGGTTGACTTTGTTTTGAGAGCCCTTTTAATGACCAAAGTTTGGTGAAAATCTGAAATTATCACTTAGGTAGTGTTCCTTGTAAGTATACCTGCGTTATACAGCCAAATGTACTATTTTGCTTTATCCGTTATGTGAGCTTCATTGTTACAATTTCAGAAACCTACGACAGCGATACAAAATGTCCACCATGAAGAATGTCGCCTAGCCATATGCAAGAGAGAATGCATTAGTGGAATTTCAAGATGGTAGGGACACTTCATACCATGCAGCTTTTTACCCACAGTGTCGAAAATACATCTAATTTTGGCCCCCTGGAGGGTTTCTGCAATCAAACAAATCAATGAATTCATGAAACCCCATTGAATTCTCTTTCTTTTCCCACAAAAGCTCAATGTTTTTTGTTGTCAACAAATAGCCAACAGCCCCAGTGATGTTGCGATGCACTGGAAGGGCGGCGGAGCCGTCCACTGCACGACAGACCCTTAAAACTATTATGCGTTTCAAAACATATACGGTCCAAACGAGAGAGAAAAGGCTGTACACGTCCCCCTTACACGACTGCCACGACAGAACCCTCATTTCTTTACTTACCTTGTGCGTTTCCGTTCCATGGAAAAGGTTTTCCAAAGGGTTTTAAATAATTCGCCTTTCATCAGCTCTCTCACATCACTACTAAACTGGCGAAGTTCTTGGTCTATCCATCCTTTTTTTGGTGGATCACAATATCGTCAATAATTTTGTAATTTTGTGCCTTCAAACTGATCATAACAAATATTGAAAAAAACAGAGTAAGTGATATTTGGTTCTATTGCCTTTATGGACGCGCCTCCACGATCTGCAAACTAATGCGCTTAAAGCAACCGTATAATTCTCATATATCTATGTAGGCAAACTCGTTGGATTTTTTTTATTTTTCATCGAGGCTTTACGTTCTATCTAGTTGTAAGGAAACATTGTCACCCTAATTTTACCAATTTAAGAAAGGGGAGGATTCCTCCATTTCCTTGCAAAATGTTTCTTTGAAATGTGTATTTCATCCATAGTAACTTATACCATGAGTGTGAGAATCGTTATCCTTCAATGAAAATGCTTATGATTGTTCATTCTCCCATCCCGAAAAATGGCCGAGGGTGAAACGACCCCAAAACCATGTTTTTCACTGAAGTAATTATTTGGAGTACAACATTTATGAAATTGAAAGTTATTACTTTTGCAACTCTCATGGTTTCAAAAAAAGCATCCACCTGAAAAATAAACACCCTGGGGATATTCAGAGGATGAAGTACATTTTCAAAATAATCAAGTCACCATTGCTGTTTCAGTTTTCTGTGACTGGAAGGAAAACTTCTTAGGAACGTCCCACAGAAAACAGTGTACCCTGAGAGAATGAACTCAATATAAGGGCTTTACTTAAAATCACATTTCCTAGAATTACGTATTTCCAGAATTTCTGCTTTCTTCAAGTTTTCTTTGAACTGCTGCTTTTGTTTAAGAAATTCCAGGAAGGTTTGTCAGCAAAAATCTGAGTCCACCTCCTAATATCACAATGTGACATATTTCATTAATAAGAACCTAAACACCAAATTCAACTTTCCCCGTCATTAAGTTTCTTCAGGCCGAATATATTTCTCGAAGTAATTGCCCCTCAGAAAGTGAACCATATAGCAATGCAACTAACAAGGCACACTACCGAGATGATAATTTCAGATATGCACCAAACTTTGGTCATTGAAAGGGCTCTCAACACGAAGCCAAGTGGCACCAAAATTTGCGGCTGAGAAATAAGTTTAGGCTCATAACTGGCTGTCAATTTTCAGTGATTCATGATTATTATTGTGACGATCCAATTTTCTTTAACTATAACTTTCCAAGGGAAATTCAGATTCAGGTGATATTTGACAGAGAGGTTCCTTAGTGAAGGAGGTTTTTTTCCATTCCGTTAGGTGGCGCTGCCTGCCGATAGAGGGCGATGATGTCCACAGCAGCGCCACCAACATACTTGCTATGTCATTTTGTAGCCACTGGAAAAAAGTCATTCAGGCCTATGAATCTCTCTGGCAATTATCAGCTGCATCCGAGACTTTTTTCAAAAGATAGGGTCGAATAAATTTTGATTTTGACCTACCAGTTGAACTTTTCTTGGACATCACTTTTTAAGAAAAAGTCAGATGCAGCTGATATTTGACAGAGGCAAATCATGTCTAAGACCTATTAGTTCCCTTGCCAGGTACATATTTGTACCTATTGACAGACGACGCAGTCATTGCATAAACGAAGATGAAATATGAAGGAGCAAGAGGAGAGTTTATATAGAGTGCATATGCAACCATAGTGTGAACATGTAAAACCATGTGCTGGGTAAGGGAATGAATAAGTAATGGACCCATGAACATCTCTGTCAAACATCAGCTGCATCTGCCCTTTCCTTAAAAGGTTATAATCCAGAAAAGTTCAATTGTTAGGTCAAAATCTAACTTTGACTATATCATTTGAAAGAACTCTCGGATGAAGCTGATAATTTGCAACGCGATTCAATGGCTTACATGAATTTTTTCCAGTGGCCAAAAAATAGCATAGCAATTAGGTAGGTGGCGCTGCTGTCAACATCAACTCCATCTGTCGGCATGCAGCGCCACCTAGAGGCATGGAAAAAAACTCCTTCACTGAAGAAAATCTATATCAAATATCACCTGAATCTGACTTTCCCTTGAAAAGTCATAGTCAAAGAAAATAGGGCCATGAGTATGATAATCATATATAACTAAAGATTTTAGAGAGTCAGTTATGAGCCTAAACCTGTTCCTTAGCCGCAATTTTTGGTGCCGTTTGACTTCGTTTTGAGAGCCTTTTCAATGACCAAAATTTGGTGAAAATCTGAAATTATCACTTGGGTAGTGTTCCTTGTAAGAGGTGGAAAGTTTCTTCGAATCAGTTCCGAAAGACCCACAGGATTGCTAAATGGTATATTTGTGTATTTGCAAGTTTCAATTCAGAGAGCATGTATTCTCCTTAATGTGTAGCGTAATTTCTGCCCAAATTCTTTCCTGGTTATATACATGAAATTTCAGTGTTGTTATTCATCAGTACCCAGAGAACCGATACAACATAAAATTCCAACTTTCAATAAATTCGCTTTTCGATGCAGCGCGACATTCTGCAAAATGCGTTTTGCCGAAAAATGTGCCCTGAGGGCACATCTTTCAAAAGTATGATTTTCACTGAAATCCTTGCTAGGATATGACCTACAATTTAGTTGCTAATTTGGCAACATTAGGTCATGGTGTTAGCAACATTGTCCTATAGAAACAGGAACATGCTTTATGTTTCCGTTTCACCTGGCCAAAAAAGTGGCATTGAAAACGTGCCCTGAACTAGAGTATGATTCCACTTGATATCTATTGACTGTATCTCAACCGGTCAATTATTGCAAACGAATTTTCAGATTTATATGGTTTTCCTTCAGAGGAGCTCTTCATTTTCTTAAAATTATTCCAACTTGCAATTAGTGCCCTAAGGCGATGAAAATGTAAACAAAACGTTTACCTGAGTTAGTACTCCACGAACTGCAGAATCGCCAGATATAACAATTGTTAGCGGCCTGTAGGGTCTACTCTGGCCGTCTAGTATGTGGTAATTTGAATTGCCTATTGTGACCATAACGTCTTCTTGACAATCCTCTGTTCATTGCATTACCCATTCGGAACTGAACCGCTTCATTACATTTATACACATATAGTTTACAGTACACAGGGTGATTTTGCTCTTAAACACCATCATCATGATATTCGAGCTGATTGCCACAATCGCCATTGTGAACGCTTCGGTTTATCACTTTTTCATGAGACTCAAGACGACATTGCATATTTCATATTCCTAGCAATATTCTACACTCTTGCATCAACGATGCATAGGCTATTAGAATTAGCGCTTGGTGCAGACACCAATGATTCTGAAACAGTATGGACAGTTTCCAAGAACTTGTTCGATGGCACAGAGGAATTTAGTGCACGTGCGGCACAATGCTAAAGACTAATTCCTGAAAATGCCAACCTTGCATCAAGTTGCTTAGCAGGCTACACGGCTCTCCTATTCCGGAGCTCAGCATTCGCTGCCTCTTGCTGTTCAGCGGTCTGGGCGGCCCTATGCTCCCTACGTTCATGTGCTTGCTATTTATCACCGATTCTAGCCATTACGGCTGGCACCGATTTTGGCACTTCCTACGGTAACTGCAGTGGCAAACGTGTTTTCCGCGCTAGCACCAACCGTTTTTTACTAGCAACAACTGCCCTCATCGCCGTCCTGCGGGACCTCTTTCAACATTTCTTCTTCGCGTTCAACCTTATCTCGCAAAAACTGCATCTCGGGTGCACCTCGTTTGCGCAACATAAGAAGCAAAGACGTTTTTTGCCGCCATCAATCATGAGAACGGAAATAAATCGGTCATGACAAGCAAAATCGGGCATGAAACGCAAATAGAAAACTATTGCATGGAAGCGATGGCGCGAATCACCACGTCTGACCTAACGGAAATAAATAGATACAGAAGAAAACACCCCAGCAATGAGGGTATTCAAATGAAGAACTTGAAGGCGATCAGGAAAAACGTGACATGCATTCAGTTAATACCACCCATTGAATTACACAACTAAGTATGAAGTCTATGGCTCAGACTGATATAGCTCGATTGACCTGGCGCTAAAAGTGTTGGATGGCCAATTCTATGGCCTAGAATAACATAGCCTGAAGGACCTGGCGCTTTTAGAGGTGGATAGCCTAACCTTTGGCCTAAAGTGACAGTCTTGTTGTCCCCGCGCGCTGGGGTGACAACCACCACCACCACAACTCTCGGGCTCTTGGAATTAAAGTATAACGCATATGTGTACATTTCTAAGAAGTGAGACTGACTCACTCGAAAGGCCACTCCAATAATTACGTAACTTTTAAAACATGGTTTTCCTTGAAATCAGTATCCCAAGAACAGTTGCGTTTTAACTTTTAGCTTCCTGTTGCATTTTCATTTTAAATATCTCTCTCTCTCTCTCTCCCCCTCTCTCTCTCTCTCTATATATATATATATATATATATAGAGTAAAAGAAGTTATTTGGTGCCGAAATTGTTGGAAACTACCCAAGGCCAACAGAAAATGTCCAACCTTTTGACCCAGAAGCGCGGGACTTAGAGATGAGAGTCCGAATTATTAGAGACAGCCTGCAGGCATGGGGCGAGGCTAAAGGAAGTTAAAAAGAGAAGGGACAGCGAAGGATCCTATCCTAGAAATTTGTCAGGCAGCCTGCGTCGTCTGGGGGTTGAGGCCGCAAGTCTTACTAAACAAACCCTACCCTGAAAGTTTCTACTGCCAGGTGCTACGGCCTATGGAATTAAACAGTTAGACTATACCTAATGCCCCAGAGGCAATCACGGCTTAAGGTACCAAGGGAAGATGAAAATCGACCCCCCTAGAATCAAATTCTGGCTTATAATTATTGTAGAGGACCCCAAGGGAGGGCCTTGAAGTCACTTTTTGGCA